CTCAGTGGGTTTGCGGTTGTCCTGGTGATGTGTCGGCCCTCGATTGTCCTGAGCCTCATCACGGTCCACAGGGACGTACACAATCACCTTACGTGTGCAGGGATGGGGCTACACCGGGGTTGGGGGAGGGGGGTGTTCAAGTCCTGTCAGAAATCTGTTTAGCCCCAGTAAAGCCCACCAGCATTTTATTTAATATTCTAAAATTTATTAGATCCAGACATCTAATACCTAATACAGTATATAATTACAGTATTTTCTCGGCCCCCCTATGTATCAGTCAAGCCCCCTTGAGCACCAGGAGAGAAAAAATCCTGGAGCCGTCCCTGCATGTGTGTGTGCATATTACACGGTTGTTTAAGTGAAAAACAGTGTGATGTAAGATTTTTTTTTTATGCGCTGGAGTCCGGAATCGAACCCTTTCGATGGGAACTCCGAGGCAGCTTTGCTAACCACGGACGGGGAAAATGGTCTTGTCCACAAGAGGGCGCAGCTGCGAACACGCCAGCGTTTGTCCCGTGAAGTACTAAAAGGGACGTCTGGTGGCCAATCATCAGATGACACAAATCGTGCGCGCACACACTGACATAATCTTCCCTCCTCCTCCTCCTGCATGAATGGATTACAGTATTCCTACTCTGAATGTAAATTCTCACCACAAATGCATCAGTGAGATTGTGTTGACACGGGAATGTTCGGGGCAGAAGTTCAGGATAGGGAGTCGGCGCCGCACGGAAGGCAAGTGTAGTGTGGCTCCAGCCCTTCAGGCCAAGACGGCACCCATTGGCGAATTTCTTTCTGGCAAGAGTCATGTCAAAACACGCCGTTCACCCTCCTCCTCCTCCTTGCAGCGCACCAAGCACAGCCCACGCCAGTCATGCATTGGCCCCGCCCACGTTGACTTTGCCAAGGGCCTTTGGAATATTTGTCGCATTTGTTTCGTCGTTTTTCCCTCTAGTTAGTTAGGTCACATACAATGTAATTCTTTCATTGCTGCAAACCAATGGTTCATAGATTATAAAGAAAATGGATTTTGGACTTTTATTACTTAAATCAATTAATTACAAGTTATCCAGCAGGCATAAGAAGAGCAACAAGCCAAAGAGCAAAGTAGAAGTCACAAAATAAAAGTCCGGTTTATTGTCCAACAACAAACTTCGCACGTACACCAAAACAGGCGGCCGGAAAACAACCAAAAAACAAAAAATGAGAAGAAAAGAAAGAAAGAGACTCTTCTTTTCTTTGGCCTTCCTCCATCCAAGCAAGCAAGCAGGCAAGCACAAAGTCGTTTTATGGTACAGCTCAAGTACATACATTAAATGGAATTGACTGGAATGCTCTGAGTTCAACGGCCAAAGACGTCTTGGACTTGGTTTGGGTGTCACATGGTCAAAAGATCTCATTAACCAAGCACCTATTTGCCTCCTTCCCAACAATATGTACAAAAATATAAAATGTAAATAAAAATACAAACTAATTCTCCGCTGGAGTCGCTGTTGTCGTCGTTATTGTTGTCGTAGAGGCCGGATTGTGCGTGAGGATGGTGGGCGGGCGGCGGGCGTTGAAATCTACTCGCTAATGACCACATTTTCTTTCATATCGTTTAGATGAGCACTCCTCCGGCCCCGCCCCCTGAGCCCAACCACAGGAAGCGGCCCAGCGGGTTGCCGCGCCGCCGCAGGAAGCTGCCCCATCAATCGTCGTCGTCTGTTTTCTGCTTCTTGGTCCCCACGTCGTCCTGGTAGCCACAAAAATCCATTTACAACCCAAAACCAACCAACCTTCATTTTCCCATTCCTTGACTTCACCTTGTTAAATTTCGCTTTGTATGATTACGTCTGGAGAATTGCACCGCACAAAGGAATCGTTTCCCCTCCTGTTTATGTGACAAGTACTTTTTGAGACACGGTTTCATTTTCACGGGCTTTCATTCAAGATCTTGGAAATGCATTTGGATTTTGAAGCGCCATAACTTTACAATGCCAATTTGTTGCTACATCGGTCACATTTAGGATAATCTTTTCCTGGACTTTTATTTTGAATCAAGTGAAAAGATGTCGTGGAAAGTCACCTCGTCGTCATCGTCATCTTCGTCCTCGTCGGCCGCCCGCTTCGTGCCGCCCTCCAGCTCATCCTCATCTTCGTCCTCATCTTCCTCATCGCCTGGGCGACAACAACCATGACGGTTAGCATTTGGATAGGAAGGTAGATGAACATCAGGGACATGTCTCAGGCACCTTCTCCGTCATCTTCCTCATCCTCGTCATCCACCTCGTCATCTTCCTCGTCGTCGATCTCGGGCTCACCGTTCTCCTCATTCTCCTACGAATCCAAACTTTATATTCAGCCTTGCTTTCATGTCCTTCATATCTTCTCATCTAGCTGACCGACTAACAAAATCGTGTCGAATCCCTAAATCATCAATTAGAACGCTCTTCCCTACATTTCTGGTAAATTTTATCCTATCCTCAATCATTTGCTGAAAAACTTTTTGCGCTCACCCAAAGCTGTCCAATTTTAAAAGGTGTTTTGGCGCCCTCTTCTGGCAGCGCGCCGTAAAGAGAATGTTTAGTTGGGCGAGTATTTGTTGGGACACAGCTTTATATTTATTTATTATTATTTAGTCATATTCAAAGTCCTTGCTTCCATCTTGGTGTCAAGGAACTGTGCGGAAATGAGGGGAAGAGTTTCATGGACATATGTGGTGCAAAACAATTATCACCGTCTCTGGAAACCATCAGTGACTTGTGGCTTTTCAGGATCCCGTCCGTCCCTGTCGCCCGTGTTCAATTTATTTTGCTTTCACTGAGATCATGTCTTTAAAGTCATGAAATGGAATGTGTCTTTCCTTAATTTAACCCATTTGACATAACTATGTCGACTGGCACTATAACTTAAACAACTTTACACAACATCGTAATGGTTAGTAAAATAAGTACTTTTTTGGGGGACGGAAGGGCGGTTTTTTTTTTGTGTTTTTGTTTAATGAAAGGGCCACTCGAGTGTCACAGTTTAGGGTTTGTGAGTAATCGTGTCACCTTTCCATTGGTGGCAGCATCTTTGCCGTTCTCCTTCTCCTCCAGAAGCTTCTTGTCCTTCAAGTCCTGAACAAAACAAACAAACAAAAACATTTGAGCATACAAAATCCTCCTTTTCAGTACTGACGCTAAAGCTTCCTGTTGCCGAGAAGGAGCAGCAGTGCATGCTGGGAGCACTCCCTCCTCTTCACGTCTCGTAATAGGACACTTTGGTGACGGCCCCGGGGCATTGTTGGTATTGTAGTGCATAAGCCACCATATGTCGCCAGACACGCCCGGGATACGCACTGCATTACCCACAATGCAACGCGCCATTGAAAATAAGCTCGCGGCGCGGAGGGGGGAGGGAAGTGTGACGTTTTTGGGAAGGTGGGGGTGCGAGTAAGGGGGTGGGGGTAACGAGGAGTGGGGGGGAGGGGGAGCGCGTGTAACGAAGGACAATAGAAGAAGACACATGGCCGATATCACACCGGAAAACTCCCGCTCGGTCCTCGAACCCAAATTATAAAGAAAAATCATAAGGTCGATCTTGGCCTTCATTTATGTATTTCCGACAACCAATCCGATTAGCTCTTGAACATGTAACAAAATGAACATCTCTTTTTTAAGTTTAGTTTCGCTTATCACATTGCGCTCAGACACGCGCGACGCACCGTTCAACTAAAGCAGGTTGTGAAAGCCAACAAAGCGCGCGCACGACGCATCACACCTACGCGCACGCACGTACGCGCACGTAAGTGCTCCGCATTAGCCGCCTTTGAGAATCAAAAAAACACACAGTGCCGGACTTGACTTGTTTATGGTTGATACAGTCAGCAGAGGACATGTAGAAGCGTGCACCAGTTTCTGTTGTCTTCAGGCCAACCGTTGCTGCTGCTTGGAGATGTTGGGGACGAAGGAGCAGTGAAACGTATGTTTGAGAAAAGACCCATTGTATCAACATTTGTCACTGTATTTTGATTTATGTGACAAAGACTCCTCCCTGAGACGAACAAGTAACTACTAAAAAGGTTACGTAAAAGAATGAGCCGAGTTTCGTTGCTACAATGAGTCCCAGAGTTGACTCCAGTTTGTGATGCTCATTCACTTTACAATAAAGCTCAGCAAAAAAAAAAAAAAAAAAAAAAAAAAGGACAGAATCAATATAAAGCTTCCCGGGTAGACGCGCGAGCGCCACGACTAAGCAGCGAGCGAGAGCGCGCCGCCGAACCCGAGCCCATCAACAAACACAGCGGCTCCATTCAAAGCAACTTTCGGCACCGGAACCGAGCGAGAAGAACAAGCCGAGTCGCTTGGCGCCCCGCGGCAACATTTTTCAACATCCTGGCGGCCGAGGGGTTCCTCGCTCGGACAACGGTGCGGGTCGGTTCGTCCGCCGGTTCTTGTGTGAGCGAAACAGAGCCACTCGTATAAACAAAGACGGCTCACGAGTCGCAGGCAGACAATGAGGCTGAGCTGGCGTCATTCGAGTGACATCTGGAAGCGGCTGAGATGCTCGCAAAACACGTTTGGCGCCCGCTTCTTCGAACGCATGACAAGCGGAGACGCCACGAGAGCTTTTTCATTGGTTTCTTTTTAAAGAAAAAATATATACAAAATATTTTTAAATGCATATAAAAACTGACGCGTGTATCCCGCGCAGCTTTGTGGAGGTGAGCGGCTTAGCGAGCACTACACGCACCTTGAAGGAAAGAAATCAGTTGTTGTCTTCTTTCTTACCTTGGCTGAGATTTCCGATACAGAGTCAACTTTGGCGTCTGCCATTGTTTCGGGGTAGTAAAATAAAGCAGGCGAGAAGGAAGCTGGACAAAAGTAATTCCTCGGCGACGGCGTTCAGTGTGTTTTTGTGCCAATGGCCGAGCGAGCAGGCGGCTGAGTGGTTGATATATAGGCTAGTGGGCGGGGTAGAAGGCGGCTTGGCTCTCGCCCATTGGCTGCCCTCGCCCAAGAGAGCTTCTCCGCTCGAACAACGAGTCGAATTACGAAGCAGCAGCCACGCCCCCTCCCACCCACGCCGATGCTCGGCGCTTTTGGTCTTCCAAAATTTCATTGTGAGCGACTCAAGTGCACAAAAAGGTATCCCGCTCCACCGGGAAGGCCAAATTCACTCGTCTGCGTCGACCTACGCACTAAAAATGGCGGATAGCTGCCCCGCGGGGACATTGACACCATTTGATTGAGTGATGTTCGTCTGGACCAATGAGACGACGACTTAGGGACCGAATGTCCCGCCCATTCAGACGGAGGGAAATAATTTAGCAAGAACGACGCCAAAATGTCAAGTTGTCCGCCAATTTTAACGAGAGCTGAGGTTTTTGTACATTGCGCTGCGTTTTCGCGAACCGGCTGCAACTCGGTGGAGAAGCGCCGTTCGAGAGTCGAGAACCAAAGTAAGTGGAGCGCCACCGGCGCCGTTTGAGCTCTGCGCTCGCCCCTCCCCTGAGCGGCCGGCAGCCATCTTGAGGCTCCCTCTTCGCGGTTATCTCCGAATGGCGCACTTCTTCTTCACCTTCCTTCCCCCTTTCGTCTTTACAAACCCGAGGACCACGACGTTCGACGGTCCCAACGTCGACGGCACGCCATTCGAGTCGGCCCTAACGAAACAACAAGACCCGCTGAGAGTGAACGAGGCGAGCAAGCGCGTGGCCTAATTTCTTTCTTTTGTTGGATATTGAAGTGGCGAAGTGCGACACAACACGTGCGACGAGACAAGTGCGCCCCCCCCCCCCAAAAAAAAGCAACACCGTGTGCTCGTGAACATTATGAAACACACCAAGGACCTCTCCTTACCGATTTTTGTACACATGGCTTTTACAAGCGGGACATGAGAAGGGGCAAAGGGACGGCCGCCATTAGATGCAGCAGTTTAGTGGTAGTAGTTGGAGTGGGCGGGGGTTCGCCTAACGAACGGCTTGCAATGACGGCCGGATTGCTGACGCAAATAACGCTCGCGACAACTCCCATTGGCCCGGTTGGTCAAGTGAGTTGACGCCGAGGCACCGTGGTCCTGCAACGAGCGGCGATTGGCTGCCGCCGCCGTCCGTCATTTCAAACGTTTACGACGTCGGTGCGACTTGACGCGCGGTTGGAAGACTGCAACTGCGGACGAGCGTCAAGTTTCACTGACTAGCGCTTCCCTTTCAAGCCACCCCCCCACTCCCCACTGCCACAAACAAACACAGAAACGCACACATTACATTTCTCATTGCGATGAATTTAAATGCCATTAAGACATTCCATCCACGCATACTATTTTTATGCATGTTTATAATTCAGGAGAATAGGACTGTATGGTATAGCCACATACTGATACAGAACATGAAGAAAGGCGTTTTTTTGTAATTTAATTATTGTACAATGGGACAAACTGAAAGTCACGAGTGCGTGTTCATGTGCCTGTGTGCGCGTTCTAGGCGGGCTGCCCCTAGTGGTATGCAAAGGAATCACTACATTAGATGTACAAGTAGCCTTTTTCTTCAAACACAGTGTTAAAAGTTGTGTAACCGGTGCCTAATGTTGCAGTGGCTTGGGAGGGTATTTTTGGGAAGTAGCAGCTGTGCATCCACCTACTGGTGGTTACTGAAGCTGTCTTGTGCTACTTTGCAGCTATTTCACAGGTGCCTTTCCCCTGTCCAGGTGACTAAAGCGCACCCGACAAGATTGGCTGCAAGTCAAGACAAGGTGTGGCCGAGACGCGGCCACCAACTTGACATGACCCCCCCCCCCCACCGCAATGCAAGCGTTCCCACCACGGCCTTGCGAAGCGAGCGTGGGGCTCATTGCAACGGTTTGTTTTGCTTTGACAAGAGACAGGATTCTTTGTCATCTGTGAAGGACCTCTCTGACTGTTGAGAACTTGGCTGTCTGTGTGTATGGGTGTGTCTGTGTCGTGGTGCCACCTGGTGAAGGAGTTCCCAAATTAAAAGGTGCGACAAAAAAAAAAAAAATCCTTCTTTTGAATGACATCGTCATTAGCGTATGTTTTTGTAAAGCATACAGTTTGAGAACATTCACCCATTCAAATATAAAATTTCCAACGTTTTAAGCAAGGAAATCCAGAGCGGCTGATAAAATATGTCGCCGACCGACATCCCGACCGTTTGCTGCTGCCTTCATTGCCTTCATTCCAAGCTGATAAACGCTGACATCTTCTCTGGTCTGGTCACTTTCTGTTTCTAGACCTTGAAAAAGTAGCTCAAGCCTTAGGCGCTGCATTCCTCTGGCTCACCTTTGGCGCATACAACACAACAAGCGTTCCTTCTTGCCCTCAACACGCCCTCTTTCCTTCAAAACCTTCCTCACAGCTCCTTCTTGCCCCCCCAAATCTCTTCCAAGGGCTTCTTCAAACACCTCCCTTTTCAGGCAATCTTCATTGTTCCTTCTTATGCATATACAACTCCAAGATGTCCTCTTTGTTCCTTCACCACCTCCTCCAGAGGCTCTTCCTGCCCAGCCAAATTTCCTTCTAACTCCTTCAACACCTCCCTTTTACAAGATACCCACCATCTCCTCATTGTTCCTTTTTTTTAACCAAAAAGACCCATTCAATATTGTTGAGACCTCCTCTTTGTTCCATGCTGCCCTCAACATGTCCTCCTTCCCACTCCAAACTTTGTACCTGTTCCTTCAAAGCCTCCATGTTACTTTGGGATCTTTTCATTGTTCCTTCTTGTATTGAACATCGACTTCCTCGCAACCTCTTTTTGTTCCTTCAACACCTTGTCTTTGCAAAAGTACCTAAACATTGTCCCTTTAACATCCTCCTTGTTCTTTTTCGTCCTTCACATTTTTTCCAGTTCTAATGTCTTCTCCGCCATGTTCGGTTTGCCCCTCAATATTGCCTCCTTCCTAGCCCAGCACTACTCATTTCCTTCCAAACCCTTCGTGCTCTCTCTTGACCTCAAGCGCTCCTTCTTGCTTCAAGAGCTCCTCTTTGTTTTCCGTTCAGGATGTATTGATTGTTCCCGCTTGTCCCAACATTCCCAGTTCTCTTTTGTTGTCTTTAATATCTTCTTTACAATACCTTACAATACATCTCCTCCTTTCTCCTTCAGTGCAACTTTTTTCCTTCAGCACAAATCTTCTTGTTCTTGATATCTCCACTTTGTTATATCCCTTTCACCTCCCATGGACTTCCATGTTTTTCCTTGTCCTGAACATAACCTCTTTCTTCCTTCAACACCTCCTTTTTCTTAATTGTTCCTTTTATCTCTTCCTTCCCATTCCAAGACCGATTTCCCCTTGTTCCTTCAACTTTTGCTTGAAGACCTTTGTATGACTGGTTACTCCAGGAATCTGTGAGTTGTCCTTCATGACCGCCTTGTTGGTCCCCGTTGACCCTAAAATGTCATCCTTCTTCATCCTTGTTCCTCCTGCAGGGCTCCAGTGAAGTTTTAGAGTTGAATGAAGATGTCCACGCCATGGCACTAAATGTTCCGAAACACCAAACAAGTTTTTATTGGGACCGTTTGTGCAAACACTTCCTGTTACAAGTGACTCTCTCGCTCACACACACACACACACACACACACACACACACACGCACACGCAC